TAAGGGCACAAATTATTTTCTGGTGATAGCCTGGAAGTTACTATATAGCCCAGGCTGGTAGCAAACTTCGGCAATCCTCCTGTCTTGGCCTCCCATGTTCTGGGATTGCAACCACATGCCACCAGACTTGGTTTTAGAAGCTCTTACATGGGTATTTTTGAGAGTTACAAAACAAATCCACAATAAAATAAGAAAACCAGGGTGTCTGGGACATACATGCACTGTTATTCATTTTTTTTAATTTTGTCTCCTCTTCAGATGGTGCCACCCTGTTGAGTGATATTGTATACATACACCAAGAAAAAACAAAACAAACAAGAAAACAAAACAAAACAAACTCTCCTCTCCCATTCCCTGATTTTTTTTTTACACTAAAATGAAACTATTTGAGTTAGTTCCGATTTTTCCCTATTCTTATATTACTGATCGTGGACTGCTCTGTTTACCCTTCTTGCTTTACTAGTTAACTTCATTTAACCTCATTTGTCATTCTAGTCCATTCTGTGCCTTCAGGGCACATTAGCACTTTTATTTTATTTTATTTTTTAGCCCTCACAAATGAACTACTGAAAAGCTCTCTCCTTGACTCTCCTTGTTTAATTGCCTCGGTGGTCTGAGGGAGCCTTAACTAGCAGAAGCCGATGGGCAGATAAGCTCGCACAACATGCGCTTAATTATACAAACAAGTCTTTCTGGGGAAAGTCTTCAGACAATTACCTCCCGAAATAAATATACCCCAGCGACTGTCAATAGCAATAAAACCCACACAATCATTTCTTAAAGCTTTTATTGTTTGCCTGTAATTAGCATGTTGATGTGATTAAAGCTACATTTGACTTCTGATAAACTCCAGACTCCTATAGATAACATTTCCAGCGGTTCAAAGCTGCTTTCATTAGAAGCGATATTTATCTGATTTGTAACCAATCAATTGGAAATAAAACTTTCCTGTGGCATGCCGTGAAAACAGCCAGCAGCAGCCCTAGCTTCTCCCAAACCCCTCCAGCAGGCTAGGTCCTTGAGTGAGATGGATTCCATATGGTTAGGAGGAGGAACCAGCAGGGACTGAAAAGGTAGAGAGCGCAGAGTCGCTCAGACCTGCGTGTGCATTCTCTGCGCTCCTGCAACAACGGAGGGCGCAACTGCTGCAAGCAATTTTCCTGAAAAATATACTTCGTGTGGCAGCAGAAAAGCCTGCAGAACTGGGGTTCGCTGAGGCCATCATTTGTAATGTTACCCTGCTTCCATATTTTAAGTTTATATTTGATTATTTTATCATAGTCTTTGAATATGGTTTTTAACTTTTATATATATTCTGGTTTTCTCTCAAGTTAGCCCTTTCCATTTTCCCTTTTTCTTCTCTTTCTCTTCCCCCACCTTCTCTCTCTCTCTCTCTCTCTCTCTCTCTCTCTCTCTCTCTCTCTCTCTCTCCCTCCCTCCCTCCCTCCCTCCCTCCCTCCCTCCCTCCTCTCTCTCTCTCTCTCTCTCTCTCTCTCTCTCTCTCTCTCTCTCTCTTTCTGTTTCTCTCTTCTTTCTTTCTGTCTTTTGGCTGTATATGGTTTTTTTCTATAAAAATATTTCATTTGCGATCACTTTAATTTGCCTCATTCAAAATTACAAAGCTCTAAATGTTGAGGTTTTGACAACTAGATTTTCAAAAGTTTATTTGGTCCAGCAAATATGCTGGGAATGCCATAACAGAGGAGGGCTGAGCAAATAGCATCCTTACAATGTAGAAACACTGCATCCTTCATCTTGTTTTCTGCGTAGTTTAAGCCCTGCACCAATGTATTTATTTTTGTTCTTAATGGGAATGTAGAAAAAAAGAAGAAAGAAAGCCAGTTACCCTCGATATCTTTATACAGTATTCAAAGCACTTCTTTCTCACCCTCCATCCACCCTCTTCAAATATTTCATATTTTTAGAAATGAAGTGGAGGAAGGAAAATATTTCTATAATGGAATAGTGTTGACATGCAAACCTTTATGTATTTCTAGCCATGCCTCATTAGAATCTGACTTTAAATATGTGGTAAACATGTGCATAAATACAATGTGTGCCATACTTTATAAATCGAGTCTTGAAGTGAATGTACATAAACAAAATAGTTTATTGCTATTAAAATTAAAACATAACATCAAACCTATGTCTGAGAAGCTTTATACTAATCTGGACATGTTCAAAGGTTTTCCATTTTTTATTTGATTGTATGGTTTCTCAGTGCCCGTTTCAAGTATTTTTTTTTAAATGTTGTAATTTATAACTTGATAGATAGTCCCATATCATCCCAACCTTATTTATACATACGGAGGTCTTTTCACAGACACTTTAAGAGCAGTGTCTCGAAATGCTGATCGTTTACAATCTAAAATTGGCCACAGTTACAGCATTTAATATCTTGGAAATGAATGCCATCTCCTGTATGTATGACCTACAGGTATTTGTGCGCACGCACGCGCACACACACACACACACACACACACACACACACACACACACGCCAGGGGAACAAGAGCAATTGTGCCAGCAAAATGAACTTTTGAAAAGAGAAGATTGGGTGTGACAAGTCTGCCCCCATGGATCTGGGGTTTATGAATATATTTCTTAGCAGGAGAATTTCTGAGGGTGTTAGACTCAAGGGAAAGATCTACATGAAGTATACCATGTACCTGTAAAAAATCAACTTCCATCAAACAGTTTCCACATTTTCCTTTCCACAATTTAGAAAACATTTCAGAAGCCATTAAAAATCCATTTGAGAACATCAAACATGTGTTGCTCTTCAACGTAGATACGTTCCCTCATCCCTCCATTTTCTACTTAATAGAAATTAGGATACCTCCATGGCCAAATGGATTATACTACCAAAACACAAATTATCCTCATCACCTTGATTTTAGATTCATTCATTTAAGATTACCAATAGCATATTTTGGGGTAAAATTTTCATTTCCACTAAATTGTTAAGTTTGGACATTAAAGATGGACTCTCTTCCAGGACTCTATTACCTATTCTGTAGTATCCACATGGTTACTAAGAGAACAGGGTAAATATTCTGGACCAGAAAAATGCCTTTACTCTGCATGTACCTAAAAACCACAGTGACTATATCTCTAGTAACAGAAGGAAACAGATTTAGAGCCACAAAGAGAAATCATGTGTGTTTATAGTCTTATTCTTGAAGAAGCTATTTACTTTACTGATGAGTAATGAAATTATACATCAAATAACACAAGACAGAAGGCAAAATAACTGGGCTTTTTGGTGATGTTTAAGTGTGTGTTCATACATGTGTATACCGAGGACACATCTCTACAACCTGACTTAACTATTCATTTTGTGTAAATTTTTGTTTTAAACTTTATTATTTAAAAACTTGCAAATAGAAGTTTAAGAAAAAAACATTGAGCTCAGAAAAGAAAGATGAAAAAGAAAAAAAGAATGCCCAGCAACAGCTGATATGTATCCAACTTTTTTGTTTTCTTGCTCAGGAGAACAGGAATCGTGAAGCCACCACAAAGTAGCAAATACTTGAATGAAAATAGATCAATGCACCAGCTCTCTGGCCTGTTTCCCTTTACAGCCTTTAAATGTCTGAAAATTGAAACATTGCCGAATGTTTTCATATTTTATTTAGGTGTTAGGTATCTCGTAGACACAGCCATCAGCAGCTCTGTTCATCTCTGCTGAGGTTGCCTGCCTGTTAACTGTGCAACACGGGACATCCAAAAGTTCACAGTGGGACAACTGTGAAGCGATTTAAATGACATTTCCCAGACTTCAAACTCAAGAGAAGGTTTGGGCAATTTTTCTTGCAAGCAGTCAAGCCGAGTAATTCCAGTTCACAACGCTCATCTTAGACCCCAGAGAGGATTTTCTCCCCCATCAGTCTTTGCATTTGTGTGTGTTAATTCCTTTGAGTTGCCGAGAACTTTGGGGTGTTTTCAGGGGGCGGTGGAGAGATAGCTGGGAATGGATCAGAGGACATCAGACAAGCTACCCAATCACAGTACTACTGAAGCACACCTCACAAACCCTGGAACAGTTTTAGAAAATTTTATACACAGTGGAGATGTTTGTTTTGCTTGTAAGTCTTATGCATACCACCAGCAAAAGGCTGTTCCCCTGGCTCTGAGAAAACTCTAGCATAACCCATAGGGTTAGATGAAAGATTCTCTGACTTCAAGTGTTCTCTGAAGACAGGGTGGGCTTCCTGCTTCACTAGCAACTCTTTCAAAAGAGCACAGTGTATGTGAACTGGACAAGAAGAAACAGTTCGGTTTTTACCGTACCATTAAACCGCGAGGCTGACTCAAGTTTAACTAACTGTCAATTTATTAGCGGGGAGGGACTTTGCCACCCCTTGTCCCCGACATGTTAATCTGAAGCATACGCATTCTGATGTTAAGTGACCCTTCCAAAGGGTGATCACACATTGACAGAAATAATTCCAGCTGAAATCCATAACGAAAGCCCAGAACAACAACAAAAAAAAGATGAAGACAACGGTGTGGTGCGGTGCTCTTTAGAACGTATTCCATATATGTACAAAACTTGTTTGCTTAAATTCAGGAGGGAAAACATCTCTTTAAGTCTATCTGTGGGCACGCGACTAGGGTGATTTTTCCACCACTTGAACGTTCCAATAAAAGACAGCAGGTCTAAAAATGAGTGAATACAGTAACTTCAACTCTTTGGGTTTCAAATGGCTGATTTGGAGAAGCAAGTGGAAGGGCTGTCTTGAAAGGAGGCCTCTGCACAAAATGTCAGTGCAGGACTAGGGTGAAGATGGGGGTCTGTTCATGAGGGAAGGCTGGGGGAGGGCCTACGGATTCTTGCAGAGGAGTGGACCAGGGAGCTGTTCGTTCGCACTCCAGAACCATATGGGGCTGTTCCTGGGAGCCTGCTCTTTACATTTTGTGTGACTATCTGATGGAGATGGACAGTGTGAGAGTGGGAGGCTGTTTAATCTTATTTTGCCCCCTTTCCACCCCCTCAGAGCCATTATGGGACCCAGGAGAAAGAACACCAAAGGAGAAGTTTTAAAAGGAAAGAAAAGAAATGGAGGAGGGATGAGAAAGAGGGGGGAGAAAGGAGCAGACACCCTCAGCTCCAGCGGAAGCAATGCCAAGAAGCAACTAACCAAAACCAGACAGCAGTGAGGAAAGAATAAAATGGCTTGGACTCAGGCTGACGAATGCACAAGAGAAAAATTCACATGGCTTCAGAGAAGGGCTTGGCATCTGGCTCAGAAATTCATGTGGATGTATGCACGTAGTTTTTATTTCTGGAACCATGTTTTGCAACTTCTTCCTGAAAAAGATGTGTTATTTTCCTTCATTAAAATAATGGAAAGACCACCCCCAATCTCCTCAACCCACCTCCCCCAACACGAAAGTTTTTTTTTTTTTAAATACTTTCTTCTAGATCACTTCCTAGATTTTCTAAGCCAAATAAAATACTAAAACTCCAAATGTCTGTGCCTAATGACTTTTCACTAGTTTCCTAACACTCCATTTTGAGGAGATAGGAGACCGCTTTGCCTTTTAATTCAGTCTATTGTAACAACAACAGCATCAACAACAAAAGTAGCTGGAGAGAAGTCAGGGTGTGACCAGGGCCAGAGACAGTTTTGATTCTGAATCACTATGCATAGTCTAAGCAGGCTGTGGCCTTTGTCTGCAAGCATTTGGCTTGTTAGACGTAATCCACCGATGGTTTGTGTAGAATGAATGTCTGAAATGCTTGTCTATAATTAGGGATTTTTAATGCTGTCCTCATGGGCCCTGCTGAACTTTTTGTTGTTGTTGTTTGTAAATGAAGACTTAACACACTCAAGTCATCATCTGTGGAACTGTGTAAACTGTTAGTACCCAAAGAGAAAACTCACCCTCACCACCGAGATGCGATTTTCACTCTCACCTTTGACCAGCAGGAGTAATTATAGATGATTTATGGAAGGAGTCATTCTGGAATGAGAGGACCCAGGAGACACGGGAGACACAGGAGTATATATACAAAGAGCAGTTTATCTGAATCCAGAACCCCACACATGCTAGGTGAATGCTCAGATACACCCTCAGTCCCAGGAACTGCTTAACGTAAACTGAATACCTTTCAGATAAGGGATATAAATGTGGTTTGGACCAGATCGTTTCCCTGTGCCTTCTTATCAAAGCACTAGGAGATTTCAACTGCTCAGCCAGCCGGGGCATCAGAGTGCAGATTTGTATTTGGACCTCTCCCCTCAAGGTGACAAAGACCAGACTTGATGACACACAGATCCCCAGCAGCTGAACTTACGTTTTCTTCTACAGCAGACGTATTCTAAAAGCACACCCAAGGACTAGCCATCAGACTGACAGTAATGACTGCCCAAAGGGAAGCATTTCGACTTGGTGCAGTTCTCTCTGGCCATTCCAGTCTAGTCCCCTTCCTGTCCCCAGGAAACAATCTTAACAGAACTGTCCCCTGATGGACACAAGAGGAAAGTCACCCTGGATCACAGGGTAGCTAGATGGCCCCCACCTCTAGCCGCAGTTGTTGATCTGAGAACATTTTGTAGTTTCCGTCCCCTGTCTTTGAGAGAAGAGTTGCCAAATACAGATTTCACTGAACACATTTCCATTTCTAGAATGGGAGGGTGCTGGGGTTTTTGTTTGTTTGTTTGTTTGTTTTTACAATAGAAGTAAGCCCCTTGGTAGGCTGCTATGTTCTGTGGCACTGTAAGAAGATAAAGTCCAAGCATGTTGTTAGGTAGGCAGTAGTGAGGTGTAGGCACAGTACTCATCCTTTTTGGCTAGTGTCCAGTGGAAGCTAGCAGAAACACATCTAACCACCGTCGAGCAGCCATGATGAGTGTGGTGTTTGTTTGTTTGTTTGTTTAACTATTAATTGAGCTACTCTATCAGTCCCTGCTGTTGGTTGAAATTTCCAGAATAGTGATCAAGTCAAAACTGGCCATTCCCATGTAGCAGAAATAGTGTGCCTTAAAATTGCATAGCTTCAGAGTCACATAATATATATTATCCATGCTGCCCATGACCTTTCTTAGTCACAACTTTCTTATGCCTAAATGAATGCCATATCAAGAGACTTTAACAGATAAGATATAAAAGATTCCAGATACACTGAAACAAAAGAATATTCAATAGCCAGTAAAAGTTCTTTTGTTTCCCTAATGATCAACAATAATTGTTTTTTCAGTGGATCATTTTGTTGCAGATATTTTTAGAGCCTAGTCAGTGATTTTTTAGTAACTAGTGACTTTTTTTTTCTATAATTGCATAACTCAGATAATAATGCAGTTGTACAACTTATAGAAGGAATGATGAACAGTATCTTAAATGTTAAACAGACTCTTAAATTTACCCTTAACACCAAATATCCAGATACTTTTTGGGTGCTTTAACAGCAATAACATTTTGTCACAAGCTATACTTGTTTATTTATTTTTCCTAATAATTTTATGCAATATCTGTTTCAAAATGAGGCAATGGGGACTCAATAGTAAAATTTAAAAATGCTACTACATAGATAAATATGAAAGTCAAACCCAGGTCTATTTGACTAAGCACTCAAGCACTGTCACAAAGTGCTGACCACACAGTACAGAATCCTCTGTGACCATAGAGTCACTGAAACCCTGGCTAGATACTCTGATGACATAAAATTCACTTTTCTATCTAGGTAATTTATTTTACATGTTGGTGTGTCTTTTTTTCCCCCTACAATTCTTTGAGTCAGATAACCATTATTATGAAGCTAAAAGGAACATTTGAACAAAAATGTTATGGTCAAAAGGGAAAGAAAAAAAAACCTTCTGGAGTCTCTCCAAGGTCCCTGACCACTGTCTGGTGCTAGTGAGATTCTCCATGGTCATTAAATGTTATTTTTGTCAGCATATTTTCAAGATGATATATTAGAACTAAACTTGCACTGAGGCGGGAAGATGACGGCAGCCAGAATTGCACAGTGAGACCCTGTCTCCAAACGCCAAACAAAAACACCCACCGACTACACTTGCTATACTTGGCTATCAGATGTTTCCTATGCTGAGGTGTGCAAAATATACTCTGAATTGCAACACAGAAGAATGCAAAATACCTCATTCATGCATTACATGGTGAAATGTCAATATTTGGTTAACATTTCTGAGATGAATTAAGTACACTATTAACATTCTTCTGACCTGTTTAGTTTTACTCATTTAAATGTGGCAATCAAATTCTTTTCATTACTTTTGCGGCTTCCATATGCAGCTCTGTGTTATATTTCTATTTGGCAAAACTGATTCCAAACCTCAAATTGGAAGGTGGCAAAGGCACTCCTAGCCTCATGCAGGCTCATAGAACAAAAACAAAGGTTTATGGAACCGTCACCCTACCCGGTTCTGTGACTTTCACTACAGGTTACTTTGCATAACTAGACAGAGCTCCTCGTTCTTGGTGTACAGCGTGTTCCAAATGGAATGGCCCTTAATCATTCTTGTTTAAGGTTGATGATAGTTACTTATATCTTTAAACCCAGAGAGTGCAGTTTGCACTATAAGCAAGGGCATAGCTTTATTCCATGAAAACTATGGAGTCAGCATTAAAAAGTCAGCCATTGACCCTCAGTGTTTTTTATTTTCATGTGGAAGAGAACAGAGGGTAGGTGTGAAACAGAAGACAGAGTTGGACTCCAGTTTAAGCTCACACCAGTAACGCTCTGAGCACTCACTATGAGCACAAACATCTTTCCAAATTCAGCTTTCTCCATCTGAGCAGAACAGAGCACTGTCCAGAGTGAGCATCCACATTGAAGACTGTGATATCTGTTCCTTGAGAAATCAGGCAACATTGTCCACTGCTCTGCCTAGACATGATCAGCTCTGGAGACTACAGCTGATTTCCATCTTGGAGGAAGGAATTGTTTCCGTCAGCCTGCCTGCCTCAGATTGCAGTTGAGCCATATTTAGCCTCTCGTGCTAGATGTTTTAGTGCCTGGCTCTTTTTAACTGGCATATGTTAAGAGCTTTGAATTAACAGGTGCATAAAAACTGTCAAAAAACACTTAAATCTCAAGACAGACTGTCAGTTGTATTAAAAAATATGGTGTTATATAACCACGTACTCTCAACACATCCAGCATGTTATAGCGTGGAATGTCCTTTCCCCGCTCTGCACAATGCAGTGATACTAATCCATACCATGAAACAAAAGGCCATGGTCCTTTAGCTGGCAGTGGAGGATGGTAGTTATGAGCGTAGAGAGGTGGATGGGGATGGTAGATCCCAAGCATCAAGGGGAAGATTTTCTTTTCCTGCAATTGAATCTCCTTTCGGGTTTAGAGATCCATTTGTAAGGCAAGCTAACCAAAGGGAAGAACTAGAGCTCTGGAAGGCTCCTAGAAGTTGTTCCTTTTAAGGAGTATCACAGCACAGGACTGCAGTGAAATTCAAATCTACCTTACCACAAAATGATGGGGAAAACTCATCACTTTTCAAAAAGTTTTACTTTTATTTTATATGTATGCATGTTTTGTCTGCTTGTGTATCACATGCATGCCTTGTGCTCTGAGTGCCAGAAGAGGGCACTGAGTCCACTGGATTCAGAGTCACAAACAATTGGAAGCTTCCTCGTCTGTACTGGGAACTCAACCCAGGTCCTATGAAAGAACAGCAAATGCTCTTAACCGCTGAACCATCTCTTTAGCCCCACAGAGAAAATGCATTGGTTAAAACTGTGTGAATTAGTGGCATTTCACATGAATGGATTAAAAAGTAAAGCTTGCCTAAAATAAACGGAATCAAGGATGAGTCAGTTAAAGCACAGGACAAATCATGTTTACATCTATATTAAGCATCCTTTCACCATATTTCAAAGACAATAGTTACATTTCAGTAACTCTGAACTTGCATTAGAAGCAAGCATCTCTGATAACTACTCCTTTGCATACAACACACATCAGAAAAGCTTTTGTGTGTGTGTGAAATCAAGTTAAAGTTAGACTTGACCTTGGCTGTGTTTTAGATGATCTCATATTTAGCACTGACCACTGACCTATCAAATAACTAGGTGGCCAGGGACAAGTCAATTAATTTTTGTAGACCTTGCTGATTATCTTTAAATGTAATATAGAGGAGGATGGGTGTGGGATATATGAAAAAGACTCAGCATTCATTTTAGTTCTAAAAATAGTAAATCCTATGATGCACGAAATTCTATCATACTTCTAGACATTCCTCTGTAGAAGGTTAAACATTGTATTGAAATGATGCTTTTTTTATTGCTTCATTGTTTTTCTATGTTCTGATATTTACATTGCTGGATCTTGGATTATGATTCCTTTCTGCTGATATTTTAAATGTGTGCTCTAGACCGAGATGGCTCTCATACCTCAGATTTTCAAAGAAGTAGACTCTGAAATGGAGACATGTGTACGAAAGTTTATTGGTGAGGATGTCAGAGGAAAACAATGGAAGGCTAGTTCA